CACAGTAATTTTATTTTGCTCTTTCGATTCTTTGTTCATTTGTTTTGATTTTTAGATTCAATTGTGGATGGATATGTATTTATTGCCATTTTATTGTCCGTATTTTTAAAATCTTTTCTCCTTTCCTTCTCCTTCTTCATCTTAAAAAAAAAACCCTTCAGCATCTCGCGTGGTTCTGGGTTTGGTGGCGATGAGCTCCTTGAGCTTTTCCTGTCTGTGAAGCTCTGTATCTCACCTCCAGTTCTAAATGAGCTTCGCTGGGCAGAGAAGGGCGAGGCCAGGAGTATTCAGGGGAAGAAGAGCGAGGCCGGCAGCCAGGGCGACCTTCCCTGTGAAAGGACGCAGCTGCTCGGGGCCGAGGGCTCGGTCTCTGTGAAACCGGGCCGGTCTTCGCATCAGGTGCGGGATCGCGGAGGCCCGTGGGAGCGTCACTGAGGCTGGAGCGTGACCTCAGAACCGTTAAAGGCACGTGCGCGAAGGGGTGCGGGGGCTCTCTCTCTTAACAAGCCGGGCGTGCCTGGGCTACGCCAGCAGGGTTCTTTAACACCAGCCTCCGCCTGCAAGCCCACCGCCTCCAGGAGCCGGCGGGAGGTTGGACGTGGCCACGCAGGTGAGGCCGGTGCCTGGCGACCCTCAGGTGTCAGCGGCTCGGCCGTTGGGGCCCTGGGCGCGGGACACAGGCTCTGACGTTGCCACCGCGTGGAGGACTTGACGGCATCGGCAGAGCTTGCTGCTGTTTTGTTTTATTTTCATCTCCTTTTCCCTTTACACCTCTCCAGGCTGCGTGCGCTGGAGAGAGGAGCAGCCTCCGCAGCCTCCTGGGCGGAGAGCGCGCCTGCGATCTGTGCTCACGCAGCCGGATGGAGGCCTGTCTAGGAACACGTGTGGGTCTTGCATGGTTTGTGCTGTGACCGATAGAGGGTTTTAGATTCTGCACGTAAATGTGTTTCCTGCTTATCCACGAGGGCAGGAGGCCGAGCACAGCCACGGGCGCAGCCACGGGCACAGCCACAGGCCTCCACCCACTCCCAGGCTCCGTCCAAGGCCGCAATGTAGGTGCTTTGCACACAGAGGGGGCCGGGGACCAGGGTCAGGCGGCAAACGCGGGACCGTGGCTGTCCCAGGCCCGGCTTTCCCAGCCCCCCGTCTCAGTCGGATCTTCCCGCTCTGTGTCTGTAGCGTCTTCCTCTTGGGGCGGATCAGGCGTCTGCGGGACGTGATGTCTGTCACTCGCTGCTCCTCCGTGTGGG